TAATTATAAATAGTTCAAAATGGACAGTCAACTTGAAATTTACTTACGTAAAAAGCTTAGGTGATTCTTAGGGTTTCCATGTTCAAAACTTTACAAAGTTTTATAAAAATAAAATTGCAACTTAATAGAGCAACTAATTAACTTGTATTTGTATAAAAAGAAAAAAAATTGCAGCTTGATATTGTGAAGTTTTTCAATAGCTTTATTAAACCATATTTATGATGGGAGGGACCAGACATTCTATAATAATAATGTATAGTGCTGTGTGTAATTCCATGGTTTCTTCGACATCTTAACAAAATAGGAATAATACAACACACTCAAAAGACAGTAAAATAAGAATCTAATTGTAGGTGCAAGGGGACTCAGGCTTATGCTGGGAAGAATCTGACAAATGGTATAGTTTGTTTTTCTAGAAAGAATCTACTGATGAGTCACATAACTTGCATGTAATACTAGGTTCTCATTTTTTAGCTTCAAAACTTTGTATCCATGCAGAGACTCCGTAACTAAGACTTGTGTGGTTGAATTTTGACTTCTTTGATATTCAGCATTTAGTGCATACATTTCTCAGATAGGGAATTTGATTTTCTATACCCATAATGATATTTATGGCTAACATTAGGCACTTACTATGTGCTAGGCACTGTAAGCACTTTATATGCATAATCTCAGTATTCCCTATGAGTACAGGGTTATTTACCTCTATTTCACAAATGAGATAATGAAGTGGGAGATTAAGCAACTTGCTTGAAGTCACAGGTATTAAATCATGAGGCCAATTTCAACCCAGACAACTGACTCCAGCTCATGCTTACTTTTGCTGCCTAACTTTTTAAAATGGTATTTTAAATTAGGAAGACCATGCTAAAGATACTTGCAAAGATAAGTGATATTTTCGTATTTCAATTATTGGTTTAAAATTAGCATTCAAAAAGGTAAAACCAGCATGCTCAAACATTGTTAATTTAAAAAAAAAAAAGTGACTTTAAAAGTTTCTTTATATTCAGGGTTTCTCTTGGGATACTCACATTGTATATTACTGGCTTCTGTTTCAGAATTGTTCATTTTATTTAACATGATTGACTTTGGTTGGCCTTTTATAATTTACGTAAAACATAATTTTCCTCAGTTCTGTAATCCAGATTTAACACGTTGAATAAATAAGAATATGGTTGAATTTACATATGGTAATTTAAGGATATTGCATAGGTAGAACACTTTGTCAGTAATTAATCAGTACCTATATGTATTTTTGGTGTTACTTTTCAGTGATTTAAGGAAATTAAGAAAAATCTGATTAAATTTCTGTCTTTGTTTTAAATAGTGAATAAACAAAATCTGCTCACTATAGAGTGAATAAACAGGTAAATTTGATACGAAAAAGCACCTCAGTATGATTCTTTATAAGCTTGTAAGTAGCTAGGGTAATGTTAAATTGATTGTTTGGAATATCAAAACCAAGCACAATGAAGAAAGAAATGATATTTTTAATTGAGCAAAGATTGTATAGATGGTTCATTTGGTCAGCCATCTTGAATAATATATGGAAAGTTAAAAAATACTTCTCAAATACAAAGGAATAAAGCTAAGAAGCTTTACGTGAGAGATAACTTACTGTGGAATTGCTTTTCAAACTGGGCTGGGGTGGCAGATGAGAGCCTGGCTATAGTAAACATAAGCTTTGTAGTTTTATTATTTTAAGAGCCAGAGTCTTGTTCTGTTGGCCAGGCTGGAGTGCAGGGGTCTGATAATGGTTCATTGCAGCTTCCAACTCCTGGGCTCACGCTGTCTTTCTGCTTCAGCTTCCTGAAAGCTGGGAATACAGGTGTGTGCCACCTTGTCTGGCTAAGTTTTAAATTTTTTTGGAGAACAGGGGGGTCTCACTGTGTTGCCCAGGCTGTTCTGGAATTTCTGGCCTCAAGCAGTCCTCCCTCCTTGGTCTCCCAGAATGTTTTGGGTTTACAGGTGTGAGCCATTGTACCCAGCCTTATATTTTGATTTTTAAATTAATTGATGTGAATATTTCCGTTTACTCCTTAATATGGCAGGATTTAGTATTTTTAAATTTCATTATAAAAAGTTTATTACAGAAAGTGGTATATTCTAGTTGGGAGCCATCTTTGCACATCTCTCCCCAACTCTGCCTTTAGTGATATGCCAATAACAAATTGACCACGGCAGGAGTATTTACACCATAGAAATTGATAAATGCAGCAAATAAAGGTATTCCCCTCCCGTTGTCCCCTCAGAGAGCCAGCTTCCCAGCACCTCATCAATTTCAAACATAAAAATAAATTTCCACGTACATATCACTCAGCTTCAGTAATTATCATCTCATAGCCAGTTTCTCCTCTCCTATCCTGAAGGTATACCAGGTATACTGGAGGCATGTTCTGTAGTCTGATATCCAGTGGCATTTGTCTTAAAGCCATACATTTTTGTCTAGAAGTTATCTAAAAAAATGTAGATCATGTCTAGAAAGTCAATCCCACAACCAAGATAGGTAAAAATTATATTAGGAGTGCTTTTCTATCAATTTACTGAGAACACTGTTGAGAGCTGTGGTTCTTGAGTCATGTAATCGCCTGTTAAGTAGTGACCTTGCTGCCAGTTTTTGCAATAAATATATTGCAATATATTGCAAATATATTTGCAATAAATATATTATTGAGCTGTATTAGATACTATATGATGTATAATTATGAATTAACTATTATTTAATTTTGAGAATCCTAGTAAATGTACTACAGGTAAGTATTCCTAGTCTGGAAATCTGAAATTTCAAATGGTCCAAAAATTGCAAACTTTTTCTGTGTCAACATGATGCTCAAAAAATGCTCATTGCAACATTTTGAGATTTCAGATTTTGGGGTTAGGAATGTTGAACTGGTGTAATGTAAATACTCCAAAACCAGAAGAAATCCAGAGTCTTAAATATTTCTGGTCCCAAGCACTTCAGATAAAGGATACTCAATTTGTATTCCTAGTTTGGAGATAATAGATAGGGAGACTTACAGGCTGGGTTGGTTTGATTGGTTGCCTATTGTGGCAGTGGGAAGCAAGGAATGGTTTTTTACATTTTTAAGTGTATTTAAGTCTTAAATGGTTACATAAGTACCCTTATAATAGTCTTGAATTTGCCTCCACCCACAAAGTAAAAATATTTACTATCTGGCCCTTTAAAAATTAGACCAGACCTAGGTTGGCAGATAGTAAAATATTTAATGGTCTAATTAATGAAAATTTTACATTAATGAAAGTATTTTCATGGATAGTATTCCTTTGTTCTTAGAGTATTTCTTTGAGGTAGGCAGAATGTATGTTTTATTCCAGAATTATTGTTTTATGCAGTTTTAACTTTACCAGTAAGGCAAATAATGCTCAAGAGAAGTTGCTCTTCACATTTAGTAAGCCGCAAGATACAGTAACTGTTGTTTTCCCCCAGATTACAACACCAAATTTAAATACTGAGTGAGAAAGTAGTAAATATCCAATGATATCTTTTTCTTAAGAATATCTATTTAGGGTTTTTAAATGTTTTAAATATTTTACAAAACAGTACTGAAGTAACTTTGTCACTTAGGACTGTTCTCAGGAAGGAGTGCTTTGATAAGAACAGAGCCATGAATGACAAAGTCAAAAACTTTCTAGACCAGCGCTTTGGGAGGCCGAGGCGGGTGGATCACGAGGTCAAGAGATCGAGACCATCCTGGTCAACATGGTGAAACCCCGTCTCTACTAAAAATACAAAAAATCAGCTGGGCATGGTGGCGCGTGCCTGTAATCCCAGCTACTCAGGAGGCTGAGACAGGAGAATTGCCTGAACCCAGGAGACGGAGGTTGTGGTGAGCCGAGATCCCGCCATTGCACTCCAGCCTGGGCAACAAGAGCGAAACTCCGTCTCAAAAAAAAAAAAAAAAACTTTCTAGAAAGTCTTTATTTTTCTGTTATGAATAATTGCATTTTTGAATTACCCCAAATGATTTGATAAATTCTTTAACTTTTATATGCCTGTCTGGTATCCATGAAATAAAAGTATAATTACCAAAAGAGACAGAAGCATCAGCTACACTGAAAGGCTCCAATTATTTTATATTTTTCAGAAATAAAAGTGACTGAATACCCTTTTATTAACTATATAGTAGCTTGGTAAAATTCTTACAGAATTTTTTTTTTTTTGAGACAGAGTCTTGCTCTGTCACCAGGCTGGAGTGCAGTGGTGTGATCTTGGCTCACTGCAACCTCTGCCTCCTGGGTTCAAGTGATTCTCCTGCCTCAGCCTCCCAAGTAGCTGGCTACAGACATGTGCCACCACGCCCACCTAATTTTTGTATTTTTAGTAGAGACAGGGTTTCACTATGTTGGCCAGGCTGGTCTCAAACTACTAACCTTGTGATCTGCCCGCCTCCACCGCGCCCGGCCAATCTTACAGAATTTTTAATGGTATATGGTATTCTATGATGAGGAAACATTTCACCAAATTACTAGCCTTCCAAAAGTTGCAGTATCATGTATAAGTATGACAGCAGTTTTAAAACGAGAGTCAGATTGAATGTGGCTTTTTTTACAGTTGAAATTTATGCTTTATGTGTATACATAAAACACTGATATCTTAGTGTCACATTATCTTTACTCTTTGATTATACTCTTCTTGAAAAGTAAATTTACTTATCAAACGATAAAACAAAAATTTAGGGAAAGCATAAAAAAATCTTTTTTTCTTAAGGCTTCATGGATTATTATTACATGTAATCAGAATGACGACTTAGGACCCTTTTCTGGGGTTATGAAAGCATGCAGTCTTAACCTAAAAGAAGCTAAGTGGAATTGTTAGATCTTTTGGTTTCTGTCGTAATGTACTATTGGAACTTCAAGTAGATATAGTGCATTAATATGAAATACTTTGAAATATACCATCTTTTAAAAAGAATGGTACTTAACACAAAAATCACATAACACTAGTTAGGATATTGAAATAACTGATATGTAATATTTTTTTCAAGCCTTCCTTTGTGGTCAGCATAAGTTTCCATTAGTTGGTCTTCATTTTGAGGCTTAACATATCAAAGTGAGTATAAAGTTCTACAATTTAGTCATTGTGTATTTCATGTCATTTATGATGAAAATGGAAACATGTAGTTAAGACAATTAATTTTCTTCTTCTGTAGCATCTAACTCTTCATCCTCATCATCATCTGCTTGTTGATCCTTTCTTAGTCGACAAGTGGATACCTGTTAAAAGAACACATTTTAAAAAATAAAGATACTAAAAAAATTTTACATGCTTGGTATCTTTTTATGCTATTATAGAGAAGGGCACACAACAAATATTTCAGAAAAATGTCCATATGTCATAACTTTTAGTAGTGAAAATTCCCTATAAATTTTAAGCTTAGAAGTCAGTTTTTCATTCATATTTTTTTGAATAAAAATGTGTAATTAACCATTTGATTCTAGGTGGATAGCCATCAATACTTCAAAAACATTACCTTAAAAGTATAGACTCAGGCTGGGCACAGTGGCTCACGCCTGTAATTCCAGCACTTTGGTAGGTTGAGGTGGGTGGGTCACCTGAGGTCAGAAGTTTGAGACCAGTCTGGCCAACATGGTGAAACCCTGTCTTTACTAAAAAATACAAAATCAGCCGGGCATGGTGGCGCATGCCTGTAGTAGTCCCAGCTACCTGGGAGGCTGAGGCAGGGGAATCACTGGAACGCAGGAGGCAGAGGTTGCAGTGAGCCGAGATTGTTGCACTGCACTCCAGCCCGGGTGACAGAGCGAGACTCCGTCTCAAGAAAAAAGTATAAACTTAGTATATTATGTTAACAATAAATTTTGGCTCACAAAAACAGTATCTGAGAATCAAAATGGATGGCGAAAATAGAAGGGTACTTCAGCTAGGAAGTGGGACAGAAGTACTGATATAAAAGTAATGTGACTTAAATGGAATGAGGGTTGATAATCTGAATTCACCAGCTTTAAGTTGCTTGACTGCTGCATGTGGGGTATGTTGCTTAAAACTTCTCTGAGGGTGATTATATCTAACCCAGGGGACATCTGGAAATGTCTAGAGACACTGTTTGTCACTATTGGGGCTGCATGTTTATGTGTGCTACTGGCATCTTGTGGGTAGAGGCTGGGGATGTTAATATCTGCTTAATATCTTTACCATATACAGGACAGTACTCCGTCCCCTTCCTCCTCCCTGGTGGGCCCAATTATCTGTCCCAAAGTCAGTAGTGCTGAGGTTGAGAAACCTAAGGATAATGCACTCTAAAGTGATATACAAGTGTTAATTAAGGTGACAATATTAGTTGTAGTCAAAATGTTAATATGTACTATAAAAGTGAATTTATGAAATTTATGTTCAAGGCAATTAATGCTGGAATAATAAAAATATTGGGTTGTGAGAGATATACGTATAAAACAAATGCTTAGAGGAGAATCAAATGAAAATCAAATAGAAAATAGAAATGAGAAACTTTTTTTTTTTTTTAAAATTAAGATGGGGTTTCACCATGATGGCCAGGCTGGTCTTGAACTCCTGACCTCAGGTGATCCACCCACCTTGGCCTCCCAAAGTGCCAGGATTACAGGCGTGAGCCACCGCGCCCGGCCGAGAAACTCTTTTCAAAATACAACTTTTATTTACCTAAAAGTTGTATACCTAAAATTGTATTTTGAAAACAGTTTGCTGAATTTTGTATTCTGAAGGCTAGATATGAATAAAAGGGCATAGCATTCTAGATCAGGGTTTGGCAAATTGTGGCCCAGCCAGCCTCCTGCTTTTGTAAATAGAATTTTATTAGAACACAGTCACACTGCTCTATGTGTTTATAGTTGTTATTTGTAGTTGGGTAGAAACCATATGGTCCACAAAGCCTAAGGCATTTAGTTTCCACATCTTACAGAAAAAGACCATGCTCTAGATACTGGGAAACTCAGGCTTTCTGGGTATAGAACAAAATGAAATGATTTCTGTATTCAGCAAAAGCCCTTTATTGGTATAATTCAGTATTTAAATTTATACTTATAATTAAATCAGATAGATCCACTGTCTTGATAGATTTAAACCCAAGTTTGACTTCAGAATCTGTGGTTTTCATATTATAGCAGATAACCCATCTGCATTAGCATTCTTCTTTTTCACTTCTGCTCTCAAGTGTTATGCTTTATTACATATAAATTACAGTATAAAAGATACTTAAGAAATAACAGAGCTGCACCTAGTGGAATCGTCAGTCATTTTATAGAAGAGGAAATAGGTCCGAGGAGAATAAGTTACATGTGGTGTAATGGCTGAGGGGAAACATTTTTAGAACTCAACAATTCCAAAGGCAGCAGCTCAAATTCCTTTAGATTATGGTTTCTTACTCACCTGTCCTGTTCCAGATACACACTTAGCTGACAGTGATCTCTGAAGAGGTGACTTTGAATTTGCTCTTACAATATCTAAACGAGAAGAATAATCTGGTGCATACAGAGAATTTCGGAAAACCTATTGTAATGATAAAAATAGCATTATAAAGTAGATGATAAACAAAAGACAGTCAAGTTCCTTAGTTAAGATTTTTTTTTTTAAACAACTCCCCCCAAATGGACAAAATTCCAGTTATTGCAAATGTAAAACAAAAATAAGCTAGAAAGATGAAAGCTAAAAATTATGTTTGAACTATGTAAGATGATGACAGATATAAATAGTAATTAGTCATGAAACAATCATTTAAATGCTTTTGCCAGGAGAACTGCAAAAGTTCAGACCCCCAAAGAGCATGCAAGCTAGTAGGGAGGCTGCGTCTCACACCTTTGATTCTTTCTGTTCCTCATATTCTCAACTCTTACCAATTTAACTTCATTGCAGTACTGCTATGGAAAATCACCTTAGAGTAAATTGGAGCCACTATAATTTATGGATTCCAACCTTAACTAGTATCTGGAATGCCATGACTTCTCAGTTCTCTTTTCTTAAGGCACTATTTCCAAACGTTACTCTTAAACCTGCCTATCTCCATCTTTTCTATCCTACTCCCACCATTTCTCTAATAGACTAGTAGGTAAAGTTATCAGATGTCAATCTCTTCAACTTTCCTCGTTTTCCTCAAGCTTTTTGCCCCTCCTTTTCCTTCTCTGTTTCTTAAAATACAATTCTGATTTATTTCCAGTGTGCATTTTTCTAACCAAAACTTCAAACCCAACCAACAAACAAAAGTTTTTGCTTTCCAAAGGTTCCCTCTCCTCGAAAACAAGGTCAAGATCAGTCTCTCTTTTTACTTACCTCAAGGTATAACTTCTTAAAAACTTTGAGGCCGGGCGCGGTGGCTCACGCCTGTAATCCCAGCACTTTGGGAGGCCGAGGCGGGTGGATCACGAGGTCAAGAGATCGAGACCATCCTGGTCAACGTGGTGAAACCCCGTCTCTACTAAAAATACAAAAATTAGCTGGGCATGGTGGCGCGTGCCTGTAATCCCAGCTACTCAGGAGGCTGAGGCAGGAGAATTGCCTGAACCCAGGAGGCGGAGGCTGCGGTGAGCCGAGATCGCGCCATTGCACTCCAGCCTGGGTAACGAGAGCGAAACTCCGTCTCAAAAAAACAAAACCAAAAAAAAAAAAACTTTGAATATTTGACTTTATCTCCATTTTTTTTCTTTTTTAAGAAATTTCCATTTATTTTTCAACAAACTACAATTGAGCTTTTCACTTCCACTAAAATTGCCCTTGCCCAAATCATTAAGGTCTTTTTTTTTCTCTTCCTCACTGACCCCCTTCTTGAAACTTACATGCTACTAAGCTCTTTCATTGTCCTAGCTTCTCTATTTCTTTACATCTCCTTTTCTACTACTTACACCTAAAATACTTTTAAAGGGTTTCCTTTAGGCCACTTTATAAAAACAATGCTGCTGGGCACAGTGACTCATGCCTATAATCCCAACACTTTGGGAGGCCAAGGCAGGAGGATCACTTCAGCCTAGGAGTTTGAGACTAGCCTGGGCAACATGGCAGAACCCCATCTCTATAAAAAATTAAAAAAAACAATCAGCCAGTGGTGGTGGTGCATGCCTGTAGTCCCACCTACTTAGGAGGCTGAGGCAGGAGATTCATTTGAGTCTGGGAGGCACTGGTTGCAGGTAACCGAGATTATGCCACTGCACTCCATCCTAGGTGACAGAAGACCCTGTCTTGAAGTTTCTCTCAAAGATGTATCTACACTGTTAATGACTACCCTTCAACGAATCCCCTGACAAGCATACCCTGTGACAGCTGTATTCATGCTCCCAACTATCTCCTGCTGTAGACTAGCACGGTCCAGTAGAACTTTCTGAGATGATGGAAATGCATGCTGTTGTGCGCTGTCCAAAAATGTAGCCACTGGCCATGTGTAGCTACTAAGCACTTGAAATGTGGTTCATGTGGCTGAGGAGCTGAATTTTTAAATTAATTGAACTTTAAATAGCCATATATGCCTACTGGCTACTTTACTGAACAGTGTAGCTCTAGATTAGCTATTATAATGAAAGACATTATCCTTTACCTAGAAGAACAAGCTATAAGCCTGGGCATTCTCCCTAAATTTCTCACCTGACACTTTGGGAGGCTGATGCAGGCAGATCGCTTGAGCCACAGGAGTTCATAACCAGCCTGGGCAACATGGCGAAACTCCATCTCTACAAAAAATACAAAAATTAGGCATAGTCGGACATGCCTACAATTCTAGCTACTTGGGAGGCTAAGGTGGGAGGATCACCTAAACTCAGAGGTCAAGGCTGCAGTAAGCTGTGATTGTGCCACTACATGCCAGCAGACAAAAGGAGGAGACCCTGTCTCAAAAAAAAAAAAAAAAATACACACACACACACTTAGGTTTCTCACCTGAGGCACTTTTATTGACTCTACGTACCTTTTATAGCTTACTTTTTAATTTAAGGCCAAAATAAGTTATTGCTCTCTTTCTTTTCGACAGGGAGCCACTCTGTCACTCAGGCTGAACTGCAGTAATGCAGTCATGGCTCACTGTATCCTCAAACTCCTGGGCTCAAGTGATTCTCCTGCCTTAGCCTCCTGAGTGGTCCCTCTGCCACTCAATGCAGAAGGACCACAGGTGCACTTTGGCTAATTTTTTCTTTTTTTGTACAGCGTCTTGCTATGTTGCCCGTGCTGGTTTTGAACTCCTGGCCTCAAGGAATTCTGCTTCAGCCTCCCATAATGCTGAGATTACAAGTGTGAGCCACCATGCTCAGCCTGTTTCTCTATTCTAAAACTTTTTGTGGCCCTTGACTGTAAATGCAGAACATAAGTTATACTATGCCTTTGTAATGCTAGTTCTTTAGCCTAGAATTACAGCAAACTTACTTGTCCTTCAAGACAATATAAAACTCCATCTTATGCTTTCTCCTATTGTCTTAGTAGCTCCTACTGTTCATACCCTCAAGTATTGCTTTTAACTCAGTGTTTTGTAATTGATTGCATTATCTGTCTCAGCTAGTCAGAAGTTCTCTAGAGCAAGGGAGCCCTGTTTTATCTATGCAACTCCTCCCTGGCAAATGGAAGACGTTAATTACATTCACGTTTGCCAAATGAATATCATTCATTTGATGTTCATTTGGCAAAAGTGAATGATCATTCATGAATGATGTTCATCTGGCAAAAGTAAATTTAATTAACATCTTTTACTGGGGGTAAAAGGAGACCCAAATTAGGGGATGGCTACACAGTCCTTTAAGAGAACTGTAGGACACGAAAGGAATTAAAGATAAAAGATAGGAGGTGAGACGTGTATTTTAAAGGAATTCAGGGGTGCTAATTAGGTTAACAGGTTACCAAGGACCCAATTCTATTTTGGTGCCAGACATGGAGCACTGACAAACTAGTATGATATAAAAATGCAATGACTCATTAATCAACTGGTATTTGGAGAAGATATATTTTGTTAAAACGTTCCTTTAACTTTTCTAGCAAAGATGGAATTTAAAGTGGGAAATGAAAAGCAGTATGTAACCCTTGGGATACAAGTCTATACCAGTTAAATATTTATTAAAATTAACCTTTTACTTCAGTTTTTTGGCAATAATGCATTTTCCAACATGGTCCAAGATCTCTTCTAAGAGTGATTCTCAAGATCTGAATGTGCTCTGAAGTTAATATAGAGGTGGCCTGACAATACTTATGTGAAGAACAAGTAAGGTAAGATGGCTTGTGATATAACTGGAGGTGCCTAACTACAAAACACTGGCTGCAGCTGGAATAAATCTCAGTGGTCCTTATAAAGCATGGACTGTCTGGAAGAATAGCAAGTAATTTCTCAGTCTTTTTCTGCATGTCTTCTTTACTTCTTTCCAAGAAACCTTGTATTTACAGGATCCTTCCTCCTCTTGGTAGGTACCTGTTTTGATGGTATATCAGTTATATCAATTAGTTACTTCCCCTGGTCTCACAATTCTCCCCAGACTGCTCCCTCCACAGTTGCTATGTGGCATAACAGTTTATGCCCATGGTTCTTTGAACACGTGCTTATGCCCTATATTGTGTTGTTCTGTTTTTTTCCCAATACACACCATGATTCTTCAGTTATGTTGTTTTAAATATACTGTTCTTTCTTTAAAACAGTCCTGTCTCAGGACCTTTGTGTATCTATGTATGCCGTCTACCTGAAAGTTTTTGCCAGGCATCCTATGCATCCCTCAAAATTCTAATTAAGAAATCACTCTGATTCTCCAGATTATTTAGAATCCCATCACACACAACACACTTTTTTTTTCTTTATGGGACTGGTCATATTATTAAAAAATCGTTACACAGTTGTTTTTTTGGGGGGGGATCTGAATTGCCTGGTAGATTTAAAGTTACTGCTTTGACTAACTTGGACCATTTCTAACTTAGAATGCTAAATAATCCACACTTAGAATGGTGCTTAGTGTATATGAGGTGCACAATAAACAGTTGAACAAACACTATATGAGGTAAGCACTACTGTATCTACATTTTAGAAAGGAGGAAGCTGAAGAGTGAAGAAGTTAACTTGCTCAGTATTACTTCACTAGAAAATAGGGGAGGTGATATTACAAAAACACATCTACCACATATTCCTGAGACCTTTAGTTTTACATAGAGCTCTTCTCCCACAAACTACTTAGATGGCTGATTAAGAGTAGTGGTAAGAAGTTATAAAGGAAGTGTTGTGAATATCTAGGTCTTCTGGGATGAGAAGGAAAATCTTGGGGACTGAAGGACTTGAAGGAACTTTAATGTCAGTTAACAAAAGGCATGTCAGAGGTATTAGAAGAATTAGGACCTCTGGGATGAGAAGGAAAATCTTGGGGTCTTAAGGGCTTGAAGGAACTTTAATTTCAGGTAACAAATAGCATGTCAAAGGTATTATAAAGAGAAGAATGAAAATACTTATAAAGTGGACTACAGTCTTGAAGGAGAACTGGGGGATCACTTTTGAATCTGCCAGTCAATGCAGTGTTATTTCTTGCAGGAAATGGTTAATGTCACTCATCAAGAACCATACTTCTGGAAGTCTAATGTAGAGAGAATTAAAGTATAATGGACTTTGTAGTCAAACTTGTGGGTTAGACTTCCAGCTCTGCTGCTTACTGGCTATGAGATCTCTGGGAAGTTTCTTAATCTCACTGTGCTTCAGTTTTCTCATCCATAGAAATGAGAATAAGTATTTTTATCAAAGTTGTTGAGAGGATTAAAATATTATAGTTAAAATGCAAAGATCAGTAGCTCACTCAAAGTAATCATTATATAAACATTTACTATTATAAGTGACAGATGAAAGCTTGATTTTTTTTTTTTTTTTTTTTTTGAGATGGAGTCTTACTTTGTTACCCAGGCTGGAGTGCAGTGGTGTAATCTCAGCTAGCTGCAACCTTTGCCTCCCAGGTTCAAGTGATTCTCCTGCCTCAGCCTCCCAAGTAGCTGGGATTACAGGCACCCACCACCAAGCCCAGCTAATTGCATTTTTAGTAGAGACAGGGTTTCACCATGTTGGCTAGGCTGGTCTGAACTCTTAACCTCAGGTCATCCACCTGCCTTGGCCTCCCAAAGTTCTGGGATTACAGATATGAGCCACTGCGCCTGGCCTTGATAATCAATTTTTAAAAGTAGGACATGAAAAGGAGTGAAAGTTAAACCTTAGCTGTAGTATTTTGAAATAACACTTGGAGAGTCATTATTGACAAATAGAGAAATATAAATATGTATATATAACTAATATAAAACAGATTTGTTTGGAAACATATACGCACACCGTAACATGTACTTTTCTTCATTTTCTTTAACCTATATTCTGGTTTTACTTAAGTTTCCTAGAGCCCGTGGAGTAATGGGACAAGAAGGCTCAGCGGATCTCTTTACTGACAGTTAAGATACAAAAAAAATTAGGCTGGGCGCGGTGGCTCATGCCTGTGATCCTAGCACTTTGGAAGGCCAAGGTGGGCAGATAATGAGAATTATCAAGAGCAGCCTGGCCAACATTGTGAAACCCCATCTCTACTAAAAATACAAAAATTAGTTGGGTGTGGTGGCGGGCTCCTATAATCCTAGCTACTTGGGAGGCTGAGGCAGGAGAATTGCTTGAACTGGGGAAGTGGAGGTTGCAGTGAGCCAAGATTGCACTCAGCTGGGTGAAAGAGCGAGACTCTCTCAAGGGGGGAGGAAAAGATACAAAAAAAAAAAAAAAAATTCCGGGAATCTTCAAATTTGTTAAATGATAGACACTCCCATATTTTATTAATACAGAATTCTTGTTATATGTTGAGATTACATGGCTTTTTTCACTTCTACCTTAGAGATGAAATGGGGAAAGTATGTCTTGAATAGTTTACTTCAGCATAAATACTTTCATACCTTTTTTTTCCCCTTTTGGAAGGTAAGAGGGTTGCATATTTATAGAATTGCTCATTGAGGACCAGGCTTTGATACTTACTTGCTCTAATGTTATTTGGCCAATCAGAATTATTTGCACTTAATAAAACCATCAGCATAAAGCAAGCCTACATAACCTACATTTATTTCATAGCTTAGTGATTAAGTTACACAGTCAGAATCCTGATTCTATTTACTAGCTAAGTGGCCACAAATAAGTTATTTCAATCCTCTAAGCCTGTTGCTGTAGTTGTAAAATGAAAGAGCAGCAGCTACCATCTAGGATTTGAGGTTTGAATGAGAAAATGCATCTAAAGCTTTGGGCATTGTGCATGACATAAACACTTAAATGTTACTGAAGTCCATAAATGTTAATTATTTTTTAGCACACTTAAGTGGGCTTATATCACCAGTCAAAATGATACACAGTATTTTATTAAATGGCTATATGTAAATTATGTTTTGCTAGCTATTAAGTAACTCTGGAACTTTTGCCCTGGTTATTTTCAAAAGTTGAAAATAAATGGAAAATGATAAAAGTTCTTCTGCTTTGGATTACACATAATAACCACTGTAGTGTTCAAATTTAAGATATTAATCACATACAAACTATGTTCTTTTTAAAATATTTCCACATTAAAGAAGAACTGAGCTTAGGCAGACATAGTCCTACCTCTAAGTCTTCATCCTCATCAATGTTTTGTATATTCTGGTAGGCAGCAGTGTAGACCTCTAAAGCTTTGCCGTGAAATAACATTTCGATTGTGATAAATTCGGAAAATATAGTCTAAAAAAACCCAAAGAATTGAATTTAAACAATCAATTACATTTCTTTCTGAATACAGAAACTTTCTCACTATAATGTTGGCATTTTATGAAATACAGAAGTATCTGTTTTTCTATAGGTCAAATAAAATACAAAAGGTAACTGAAATAAAAATAGTTGTGAAGACCTTTTGTTGCCAAACCTTCAAATTGTACAAAGTATTTCCTTTATCACCATTCACTTCCCTCTTATGTTTTTAGTTAGTTCTCTTTATACCTAGTAATTGATATTTATAATAAAAGATCTGACTAAAATGTAATTTTTTTTTTTTTTTTTTGAGATGGAGTCTCGCTCTGTCACCCAGTCTGGATGCAGTGGCATGATCTTGGCTTACTGCAGTCTCTGCCTCCCAGGTTCAAGTGATTCTCCTGCCTCAGCTTCCCAAGTAGCTGGGACTACAGGAGTGTGCCACCATGCTTGGCTAATTTTTTGTATCTTTAGTAGAGACAGGGTTTCACCGTTCTAGCCAGGATGGTCTCAATCTCCTGACTTCATGATCTGCCTGCCTCAGCCTCCCAAAGTGCTGGGATTACAGGTGTGAGCCACCTTGCCTGGCCTACTATATACTTTTAATAACTATATGCATATTAAGTATTAGAGCAGTTCAGTTATGAAGCTTGTGTTTTAGCAACTCCAACTGATGTTTAAACAGTGGAACTTTTTTTTTTTTAATTTCCGCAGGCCAAACAGTAGAACATTTTTTAAACAGGAATTATAGTCCACACTATATGCTACTTGTATTGTCTAAACATAAAGGAATTACTTGGTAGTGATGACATTCCTGCCACTGGTAATAGTACCATATATTTGCAAGGAGCGTTCTAGTTTACAAATACTGACTTGCCCAGGATTGCTCACAGATAAAGACTCTTTGGACACAGATCTGATTCTAAGGTTATAAGGTTATAGATCATTTAAGGTTTTTTTTTGCTGTTGCCTACTGAACTGTGCTGTTCCTGCTGAATCAATAATTTCCTTCACAGATAGACTGTGCAGGTAACCTTTGTAAGCATGACGGAAACTTACGACAAGGAAGATCATGAACAAAGAGTATGAAGATGTGCATGTTGATCTAAGCAGGGGGTGAGGTAATCAGTAGGTGGGGGAAAAAATGGAAACCAGGCAAGTTTTCAATAAATATGATCTTATCATTTTGTTAATTATCTGATAACAAAATAAGCATTACTGTAGAGAGAACTGGGCTGGGCTGGGGATGGTGGCTCATGCCTGTAATCCCAGCACTTTGGGAGGCCAAGCGGGGGGGATCACCTGAGGTCAGGAGTTTGAGACCAGCCTGGCCAACATGGTGAAACCCCATCTTTAAAAACAAAACAAAACAAAACAAAAAAACTGGGCTGAATAAGAACAAGGTAGAAAATACTGAAGCATGGATTATTTTAGAAGGCAGTAATCAAATACACATTTCCCTTCATTCCTGCTCTCGTAAGATAACCCAGAAAAGAGTGGCCATATACTTTGGAAGATAGCCATATAAATAATTATCAGTGGCCTGTGATTCTTTCCTCGACCATTAGAAAAACACTTAAAGGAGCATTAAGAGCCTTTTGATTGCTACTCAGTGATATATGTCAGTCTGAGAAGATGGGGTCCAGAAATAAGGGACTTGTAACTATGATTCACAATGACTTTTATTGTCACTTCATGTAAGTTATAGAGGGCTCAGGTATACTGGAGTGGCAACTGACTGATAAATAGCATTATGCTAAAATACAATTTTGGATTTCATATTAAAGTATCTCTAGCTACCTAGGAATACCTTAGAGGAGGAATGGCTTCTGAGCAGGGCTGGGACCTCTCTTAGTTGTTAGTGTCCCCATGATAGTTGCAAACCAGAAAGGAGTCAGGTTTTCTTGAGTGTGGAAACTCCTAGAGGGAAAACTGAACTAAGAGTCGATGACAAGCCAAAACGCTCATTTTTAATGCTGAAGAAATAAACTAGCCAGGCACGACAGCATGTGCCTATAATCTAAGCTATTTGGCAGGCTGAGTCAGGAGGTTCCCTTGTGTCCAGGTGTCCCAGACCAGCTTGGGCAACATTTGGAGACCTGTCTCAACAACAACAAAGCCAACTAGTTAAATTGATGTAGTGACTAACAGTAAAGGCTCCCTTTTGTTTGATTAACAAAGAGATCTTTAACAAATGGATTTTAAGAATACTTTGGCAAAGAGGAAATGGCAACTCTCCAGCATATAGAATATACAATAAAGGATATCAGGATAACTGTCTATCCATTTGAAAACTGTAAAGTTATGTATCTATGTCACACCACATGCAAAACACAGCTGTCAGCTAAATATTTAATGTTTAAAATACTTAAAAATCATAAAAACTAGAAAATATAAGCAAGTATTTATATAACCTAAGGGATGGAAATCTTTCTAAGTATGATACCAAGGAAGAAACCAAAAAGAAGATGGATAGACAGGGCAATAAGAAAACTCAGAGGTGGCAAAAACACTGTAAGCAATAAAATGAGAAAATATATTTGTAACATACTTTCAATTTAATTTGAAGGGCTAATTTTCTCAATATAAAGAATTTTTAGAAATTAGTAAGAAATGCCAACATCTGCCAGGTGCAGTGGCTCATGCTTGTAATCTCAGCACTTTGGAAAGCCTAGGCAGGTGGATCACCTGAGGTCAGGAGTTCTAGACTACCCTGGCCAACATGGTGAAATCCTGTTTCTACTAAGAATACAAAAATTAGCTGGGTGTGGCGGTCCATGCCTATAATCCCACCTACTTGGGAGGCTGAGACAGAAGAATCACTTGAACCTGGGAAGTGGAGGTTACAGTGAGCTGAGATTGTGCCTGCACTACAGCCTGTGTGACAGCGAGACTCAAAAAAAAAAAAAAAAAAAAAAAAACCCCCAAAACAAACAAACTCATTTTACCTGTGCTTATGCAAGGTTTAGTAGGAATGTAAACTGGTTTAACTTTTGTGGAGAGAATTTTTAAAAATATACATTAAAAGTGTATGCTCTGAAGGAGGAGCTCCACTTCTTATCTCAAGAGAATAACTGGGCCAGCACAAAGGCTGCTGTTTAAGGATGTGTAATGATGCAGTGACAGCTACAATGCAAAAATAACCTAGACATTCACCAATGAGGACTGGTTAAATGAATTCATATATCCATACTGGTAAAATATTATAAGGATACAAAAAAAATGATACGGATGTGTTTCTTAGCATAAATATATCCATGATATAGAAAGTTTTAAGAAGAGATGCTACATATATGGTGGTCCCATTTATGTATAACCGTTAGGCTAAAAATACCACCTTCCTCATAATGTTTTGAGGAATTAATGAGTTTATTCATGTTAAATACTTAGAATGGTGCCTGGCACACAGTCAATGTTTAAGAAATGTTTGTTATTGTTATTACCATATCTCTGTATATATGCAAAAGAAAAGTTTGGAAGTATAAAATAAAAAATGGTTAATATTTTTTGGTGTTGAGATTAAAGTCTCTTATTTTATGGATATGTTTTATGATTTATATTTATAATAAAAATAAAGGTATAAATATTTATGATGTTTCTTGCTCATGTCAGCTACTTCATTACAGGAGTAACTCCTGGTTAAATACCGTTTTTGTAATTGTGAAATTTTCTTGACATTCATCATATACTGATGACTTTTCCTAATACATGGAAAACAAATGGGATTGTGATTCTTCTTTCATTTTGCACACTAAGTTCTATACCAGCCTATTTCAGAGAGACACTCTTCAAAGTTCCTATGAAAAGTCTGTCAAAAATGTATTACCTTGCTGATTAATGCCAATACCAAAATTCAAATGGATTTATCAATTAAACTCACCTCAAACACATAATGCAGTTATGAGCAGAGCTCACTACTGCTAATCATTTCTGCTTCCAGAGTGGTTAAAGAAGGAGCCACAAACTGCCCTACCAGAAGCAGTAGCCTGATAACAGGTAAGAACAGGAATGTTCTCTCTGTTTCTCCTCAAAATAAGAGTGGTATCAGCCGGGTGAGGTGGCTTATGCCTGTAATCTTAGCACCTTGGGAGGCTGAGGCAGGCAGATCATGAGGTCAGGAGTTTGAGACCAGCCTGGCCAAGATGGTGAAACCCCATCTCTACTAAAAATACAAAAATTGCCCAGGCATGGTGGCGGGTACCTGTAATCCCAGGTACTCAGGAGACTGAGGCAGGAGAATTGCTTGAACCCCAGAGGCGGAGGTGGCAGTGAGCCAAGACTGCGCCATTGCACTCCAGCCTGGGTGACAGAGGGAGACTCAAAAAAAAAAAAAGTGGTATCAATAATTTGTCTTTTCCAAGTATTTATCTCATAGAAATGTTTATGAGACATGCTAAGATCAACATGGCAATATTAAATACTGTTTATATTAGAAATAAGGGGGCCAGCCAGGCACAGTAGGTCACACTTGTAATCCCAGCACTTGGGGAGGTGGAGGTAGGAGGACTGCTTGAGCCCAGGAGTTTGAGATCAGCCCGGGCAACATAGGTAGACACAATCTTTATAAAAGAAAAAAAGTAAACGGGCTGTAATGTAACCCTTTTGACTGATCTTTGAGGCCACCATTAGGAGACTTCTACATCCCTCTTTATTATAAAAGATCCCAAATGTGGCCTTACTTAGAAAGGAGGCAATTAGACAGTGATGAGGAATGATGTACAGAATGGAGATTCAGAACCCTAATAGACTCTGGTATTAATATCTGGTGCTCATATTTCTGGGAATTTGCTAGGGTTATGGGAGTTTGCATTTAAATTGCAGGTTGTTGCAGATGACATAATTTATATGTGAAAAATTCTAAGGAATCCACTAAAAAAACTATTAGAACTAATAAGTTTGGCAAGGTTGTAAGACATAGGCAGTATACAAAAATCAATTATATTTCTATACATTTGTGACAAGCAATCTAAAAATGAAATTAGGAAAACAAATCCATTTAAGATAGCAACAGGAAGTATACAATACTTAGAAAAAAGCTTAACAAAAGATATGCACAATTTATATTCTGAAAACTACTACAAATAGTGTTTAAAGAAATTAAAGAATATTAAAATAAATGGACAAACATCCCATGTTCATGGATTGGAAGAATTAGTGTTAAGATATCAATATTCCCCAAATTGATCTACATATTTGATACAATCCTTATCAGAACTCGAGCTGATTTCTTTATAGAAACTGACAAACTGATTCTAAGATTCATATAGGATTGCAATAGATCCAGAATAGCCATATCAATCTTAAAAAAGAAAGTAGGAAGACTCACATTACTTGATTTTAAAACTTACCATAAAGCAATGTTAAGACAGTGTGGTATTACCATAAGAACAGACACACATAGATCATTGAAAAGGACTGAGAGCTCAGAAATAAAACCATGTCAACTGATTTTCAACAAAGATGCCAAGACCATTCAATTTAAGAAAGAACAGTCTCTTCAACAAAAGGTGCTGAAATTTAACCTTTACAAAATTTAACAATATATAAAAATTAATTCAAATGGATCAAAGACATATAAGAGCTGAAATTACAAAACTGTTAGAGAATATAGGAATAAATCTTCATGACCTTGGATTTGGCAATGGATTCTTAGCTATAACCTCAAAACACAAGTAACAAAAGAAAAGACAGATAAACTGGATTTCATCAAAAGTAAAAACTTGTGCTTCAAAGACACTATCAAGAAAGTGACAAGGCAACCTACAGAATGACAAAAATTGTAGATTATCTGATATGGGACTTATATCTAGAATATATAAAAATCTCTCACAATTCAAATAAGAACAGTCAATTAAAAAAAGGGTAAAGGATCTGAATAGCCATTTGTTCAAGGCAGATATGCACAAATGGCCAAAAAGCATCATGAGGCCAGGAACAGTGACTCGTGCCTGTAATCCCAGCACTTTGGGAGGCTGAAGCTGGAGGATTACTTGAGACCAGGAATTCAAAACCAGCCTGGGCAACATAATGAGACCTCGTCTCTATTTTAAAAAAAGAAAAAAAGCTGGTTGGGCACAGTGGTTCATGTCTATAATCCCAGCACTTTGGGAGGCCGAGGTGGGGGGATTGCCTGAGGTTGGCACTTCAAGACCAGCCTGATCAACATGGAGAAACCTCATCTTTACTAAAAATACAAAATTAGCTGGGCATGGTGGCACATGCCTGTAATCCCAACTACTTGGGAGGCTGAGACAGGAGAACCGCTTGAACCCAGGAGGCGGAGGTTGCCGTGAGCTGAGATCGTGCCATTGCACTCCAGCCTGGGCAACAAGAGCAAAATTCCATCTCAAAAAAAAAAAAAAAAAGAAAAGAAAAAAGAACAAAAGCAGAAAGCATCATCAGGGAATGCAAGTCAAAACTACAATAAGACTACTACTACAATGAAACTACTACTTCAAACCCATGAGGATGGCTATAATCAAGAAGTCTGATAAACAGCAAGTACTAAAAATGCAGAGCAGTTGTAATCCTCATATACTGCTGGTGGGCAAACACAATGGTGCATTCACTTTAGAAAACAGTCTGGCACTTCTTCAAATGCTTAAGCATAAAGTTACCAATGATCCAGTAATTCCACTCCTGGGTATATATTCAAACAAAATAAAAATATATGCCTACATAAAAACTTGTACATAAATGTTTATATTAGTATTCACAATAGCCAAAAGGTGAAAACCACCAAAATGTCCATGAAATGAGTAAACAAAATGTTGTATATCTACACAACGGAATATTATTTGGTCAAAAAACGGAATGAAGGACTGATACATCCTACAACATGGATAAGCCTTGAAAGCAGGCAAGGTGAAAGAAGCCAGTCACAGAAGGCAAGATATTTGATGATTCCATTCTATGAAATGTGCAGAATAGTTCAATCCATAGAGACAAAGATTAGCAGTGGTTGCTTAGGGTTGGGGGGAAGGCAGGGGGGTAAAGCTAAACTGTACAAGGCTGAGTGATGACAACGTTCTAACATTGAGTGGTGATGGTCATATACATGTGAACTCACTTAAAACCAGAGTTGCACAATGAATTATATCCCAGTGTTTTAAAAGTGTAGGTTTCTTCCTGTCTTTTAAAAATGTTTTTCTTTTGTGACCAAGAGACTTTCTGAAATCAAGAGACTTCCCTCTTTTGGGGGCACGATAGAGAAAAGCTTAGAAGCTCTTTTCTTCTCTGTGTACCCTCCACTGTACAGCACCTCACTCCATCTCCTGTTGCTTCAGGAAATCCCAGGCTGCCGGAATTGTAGCTGGGAATGCCGCAGTCACTTTCTCTGCCCAGGTTTGGTACTTTGTAATGCTCAGGGAATTAAAACCAGCACGCAGGCAGAACATAGAAGTGAGCCCGAAGATCAGAGTAGAGACAAATTTTTGTGTAAATGAAAAATGTGCAGGTCTGAGGAACAGTAATGGAGTAAGGAATCAGTTTCCCATCACGAAAGAAAAGCCCTTATCCAACAGCGGAATCAGGCATCCATTTTTCAGGTTAAAGCTAATTAATTATCTGAATAATTCTCCTTCTTCCCTGAGTTTAAGAGGGGATGTCAGCAATTTTAAATCTTTATACCCTGATCATACTCTCCTAGCTCAGTAAAGGAATTGTCTCGGGACAGCCCCCAAGATGCTCTTCTGTGAGTGGCAATCTATTGCACAGAAGAGTACAGAGCCTGTGACTGAATTGAGAAGCTCAGAAATCTTTGAAGCTATGACAGGAAATTAAAATAAAAGATGTAAATGAATACTGTTTCATGGATTTCAGAGAGAAAGGATATAATTAAGTGGCAGATAATGCTTATTTTATTGAAAGAATATAGCTTATGAAGGAAGATTTATTTGTCAATAGTAGTAAAATAAAAGCAAACATATTTAATGCTCATTACAGGAAAATCTTCAGTGGGCCAAAAAGAGCCTTAGATGAGTTTTAAAGTCTGTAAGATGGTCATAAGCGGTCCTTCAAGCTTTTCAAGATGGCTATCAAAAAGACCTGCTGAATTTCATGATCCCCAAGAAAATTTCAAATCCATATATGTGTTAGAATAGGCAATTCTTGTGATTTTGTTATCTAAGATACCATATCATAGTAGATGCAAATTTATGTGGTTGGCTACTATTACCCTGTTTACTTATTTGATAATATGTACTTATTATAAAGTATTAAGCTATAAAAATTAATGACTGTATTGTAACAGAAATCAGATTAAAATATTGTTTTATAGTTCATATTTCTGGCTATTGTACTTCAGGTAAAATACTTTATCCTTCTCTTTTCTTTTTTTTTTTTTTTTTTTTTTTTTTTGAGTCAGCCTTGCTCTGTCGCCCAGGCTGGAGGGCAGTAGCATGATTTGGCTTACTGCAACCTCCACCTCCTAGGTTTAAGCTATTCTCCTGCCTCAGCCTCCTGAGTAGCAGGGATTACATGCCTGCACCATTACGCCTGGCTAATTTTTATACTTAGCCAGATGGGGTTTCGCCATGTTGGTGAGGTTGGTCTCAAACTTCTGACCTAAAGTGATCTGCCTGCCTCATCCTCCCAAAGTGCTGGGATTACAGGTGTGAGCCGTTGCACCCGGCTGCTTAATTTCTTTTTTTTTTTTTTAAGATGGGGTTTTGCCATATTGGTCAGTCTGGTCTCAAACTCCTGACCTCAGGTGATCCACCCACCTCAGCCTCCCAAGGTGCTGGATTACAGGTGTGAGCCACCTCGCCCGGCTTAATTTCTTAATAATACCTCTTCCTTATGGAGTTGCTGTGAAGACTGAACTAATTTACATAAAGTGCCTGGTCTTTTTATATACCACTGTTTCCATTAAAAAACCCTGATATATTTTATTTATAATATATTTTTTTGCTTTTTCTGTGTGTGTTTTTTTTAAGGGGGTGGGGTGGGCAGCATCTGGCTCTGTTGCCCAGGCTGGAGCACATGGACTGCAGTGGTGCAATCATGGCTCACTGCTGCCTCGACCTCCCCAGGCTCAGGTGATCCTCCTGCATCAGGAAGCTGGGTCTACAAGTATGTGCCACCATACCTGGCTAAATTTTTTGTATTTTTTGTAGAGAAGGGATTTTGCCATGTTGCCCAGGATGGTCCCAAACTCTTGGCCTCAAGTGATCCACCTGCCTTGGGCCTCCCAAAGTGTTAGGGTTACAGGCATGAGCCACTGTGTACAGCCCTTTATTTATCATACTTTCTTTATAAGAGCTATTTATGGGTTAAAAAATTTAGAGTAATTTAAGTTTTTCATAAGTTTAAAGTAAAAAATAAGGTTAGAAACATGTTTTGAACCCTAACAGTTACTTTATTACCTTTATATCCTTCATTTTCTGCCTTTCAAAGCTGTCAATAGTTTCCTCCAGATGACGACTTGTTCGGGAAGCATCCATTGCAGCTCTCTGTAATTCCGTTTCTGCCTACAAAAGTATTCCCCAACCAAAGATATGAACAAAATCAAATGAGAATTCATTCAGTTGAGTCCACTGGTAAATTCTGCAGTACTGGCTTTTTGGCATAATAGCGTAAATTATTAATATTATATTTTACCATATATAAATAAAATGATCTCTGTAAGCACATGCAGAATAAAGAATTTTATGTCTATTTAGTGACCTGATTCATGATCTAGAGAAAAAAATCCCAAGAACAAAAGCCACCCCCACATCCTTCCCTTTCTGTCTGCGAAATCAATTTTTTTTCCAGACACCATTGGATAACTTACTGTAAAACCATTTCCCATATTTTCTACTGCTTCTGTCTACTTTACTACCTGTGCCATTTATCAAAAATTCATTTTCTTTTGTCTCTCTCCCCGTCTTAGTAAACATTATTTTCAGTTTTCTCAATTAGAGATTATCTCTTATTCTTTTTTTTTTTTTTTTTTTTTTTGAGATGGATTTTTGTTCTTGTTGGTCAGGCTAGTGTTCACTGGTGCTATCTCAGCTCACTGCAACCTCCATCTCCTGGGTTCAAGCGATTCTCCTGCCTCAGCTTCCTGAGTAGCTGGGATTACAGGCACGTGCCACCATGCCCAGCTAATTTTTTGTATTTTTAGTAAAGATGGGGTTTCATCATTTTGGCCAGGCTAGTCTTGAACCCCTGATCTCAGGTGATCCACCCATTTGACTTCGCAACCAAAGTGCAGGGATTACAGGCGTTAGCCACTGCACGCAGCTGATTATCTCTTACTCTTCATGCTTATCTGATAGGACTACTGAATGGATTAAATGAAATCATCTTTGGAAAGAACCAAGGAGAGTGGCATACAGTAGAGAGACCTACAGCTATGACAATTACCACCACTGAGAGTCTGATTTTTAAAATCATTACAACATTGAGGTATTTTGGGATAGCAGGTATATAACCAAAGACCCTTTCTACCTTGCTTACTTCTACTCATTCTCCAAATGCATTAAATATTCTTAATTCTATAATATCCTCATCAGGTGGAATACAATATATACTACAAATATTTCAGCATGGGATTTGTACTTGTAGATTCTTCCTTACAAGACAACCATGTTACACTGCTTCTATTCTATGCTTATTACAAAAAATAAATACACTAGTAACTAATGAATTAGATGGCAAGTCTAATACACTTGGACATGTACTCTTATTATCTGGATCTGTACTGTCCAATCAATACGGTGCCCACTAGCCCATATGTGGCCATTTTCATTAAAACTAATTAAAACTAAATTAAAAATTAAAAACTATTCCCAAAGTTACTCTAGTATTAGTTCAAGAGCTCAATAGCCATATATAGCTAGTGGCTATAGTACCGTTAAGTGCAGAATATTTCTAATCTAATTGTGTGTCTCTTTTTAAGCATCTCATCTGCTAACAAAAGTTGCCCAAAAAACATTTAAGACTTTTTCTTAAATGGTAACACAGAAATTTGAGAAGGCACAGCCCAATTTTCTGATTAAATTCTTCCAAATAAAGTTTTGTTTCCTGTGCTAATATTATATTTACTCAAAAGTCACATATATCATCATTTACCAATTAATCATAGGAAAAGTTTACATTTGTTGTTAAAGTTCTATGATATGTAATAGCGTGACACTTAGCTTTTGCTTTCTTTTTCAAGAAAATGTAATTGAAACAAGTAAAAGGGTTTACTTTAAGGATCCATTTTTTGACACACCACTTTATTACCCACCTGTGACTGAAATTTTTCATAAAGGAAAAATACATTTCAAAGAGAGTATAACAATTTTTTCAATAAATTAAATTTATATACTCATACGATTCTCTATATTGCTGTGTTTGAGGATTCTTTAAACTACAACTTCATTACAGGAAATTCAAAGGTAAAATAGAGCTCCTTTGAAGACTTACTACTATGAAAAAATCTCTAACAGTTATGTGATACATATTAACCTTTTGCTAAAGAGAATATTCAACCAGACTAATTCCTAACACTAATACACATGACTGATGCAGCTCTTTACTTGTGACTACTTCCTTTTGACTCATGTCTTTCCCCTCCTCATTTATTGATATTTTCATTTGACAGTTTAGAAGGGTAAGCAGAGTTGGCTTGCTTACTTCCCCATGGAAAGCACGGGGAAACAGAAGCCATAGCTAGGATATGTGTAGTTTCACCTTCTACAGCCTCCAGCAACTCTATTACTGAAAGTCTCAAATCCTTTTACTTGAGTATAGCAACTCACCCAAAGTAACACATCCATTTTTAGCAAAGAGAATATAGATTTCTAGTATTTCTTTTACTGAAAATTCTTCAAAATTCTATGTTGTATCAACTTCAGTAGGAAATGCTTTGGATTAAAATACTAAGATACAGGCCAGGCGTGGTGGCTCACGCCGGTAAACCTAGCACTTTGGGAGGCCGAGGCGGGTAAACTGCCTGAGCTCAGGAGTTCGAGACCAGTCTGGGGAACATGATGAAACCCCGTCTTTGCTAAAAATATAAAAAATTAGCTGGGCATGGTGGCATGTGCCTATAAATCCCCGTTACTTGAGAGAGCTGGGGAGATAGGCAAAACGTTTGAACCCAGGAGGTGGGGGTTGCAGTAAGCCGAGAAAGCACCACTGCACACCAGCCTGGACGACAGAGCGAGATTCCAGCTTATAAAAAAAAAAAAAACAAAGACAAAAACAAAATAAAATAAAATACTAAGATACAACTCCATGAATAAAGGTATTGGTATATAAAATGGAATTAGTTAAGAGTTTGATATAAATGATTTTTAAAAGGGTAAGCCAGATTGGATTCACAATGCATTACAGGAAGCTTGTTCAAAAGCTACCTGGGGCCTAACTTGGGGGGTGAGCAGGCAGAGCCCTGGGATTCTTTTCCTTATCCTCTTCTCTCAGAGGGACTATTTTATTTTACATATTGAACTTCAACATACTTCAACATAGATGAATTTTAAGAGTCTATCCTGGTAAAAATTCTATGATACTATGATTGAATATTTGTATGTACGTACTGACTACATTTGTATGTAGATTGTCCTTCATGTTCTGGTCTCAGGTTGTCAAAATACACAAGCTGCAGATCTTACCGGGGAAGCACATTGATTCACCTGTGCCAATAATCTCTTAGGTTTATTTATTCCCCCACAATGTGGCCCCACAGACCTGCTTCATCTGTGCTCTAAGATTGTCTCCCTTCCACAGCAGTGTTTACAGCACAGCATCCAAGTCAGAAAAATGTTTGTCTTAGGAATAGATTCTGTGTTGAGTGTAGACACCAGTACTCCTGATTCAATCTTGCCAACTGCTCAGGGTTCCCGATGTCTTCATATATCACCACCTCCCCAACTTCAGGCCACAAAGAACAAAACAAAACAAAAAATTTGGATCCCTAGCTTAATTCTTAAACACTGATGAACCCACCCTCCCACCGGCCATAGCCTCTGCCTTGACCTCTAGTTATCAGTCATAAATTTTCCAGCATTCTCTGGTTTGTCTGACTTGCTTAAAACAGACTCTATCATTTCCATTTGCAGATCTTATGCCACTATGACTATCTAGATGTTTCTGTCCCAGTCTCCAGTGGGCACCCCCAGCCCTATGGCTGCCCATTTTTGTTTAGCACAAAGTTGGGCTTCTGTACCTCTGGTCCAAAGGAAGAAGGACCAAGCAATTAGTGTAGCCTCAAATCAATGCTCAAGGGACTCCCCTCAGGAATGAAGGTGTTCTGGAATCTCAAAGGGTCTCAAAAGAGCCACTCCTCATGTGGTTTCTGGCTGAGCTGGGCAGTAACAACCTTAAGGAAGTAGGAAGGAAACACACAGAAGGAATGGAAAAAGAGGCAGTAGGGATGTTAGTGCTTTCTACACAGTCCTACCTACCTCAGTTGCTGGCAATTAGGCACTATTTTGTATGCTTTTGTTTAGTCACCAACAAGGCACATTATAGTTTAAGAAATAGTCGTGTTTCCGCATGTTCTCACTCATAAGTGGGTGTTGAACAATGAGAACACATGGACACAGGGAGGGGAACATCACACACCAGGGCCTGTCGAGGGGTTGGGGGCTAGGGGAAGGATAGCAGCAGACAGGGGGATAGAGGAGGGAGGGATGGCATTAGGAGAAATACCTAAGGTAGATGATGGGGTGATGGATACAGTAAACCACCATGGGATGTGTATACCTAAAACCTGCACGTTCTGCACATGTACCCCAGAACTTAAAGTATAATTTAAAAAAAAGTAAAGATTGACTAGATAAAAATAAATAAATAAATAATAATGTTTAACAGAAGAACCTTGTTACAGTAGACAGTCCTATTTAGGTTCCTTTGTGTCCAACTTGGATCTTAATTATACTCCTAAGTCTCCTGAGATTAACTGGCTGGAAGTCATGATTTCACATAGTTGTTTCATTTCCAAAAGGTGAAGGAAATTAAATGGGAAATTTTTCTTTCCTTTTTTCAAAGCAGGGCATAGAGGGCACTGATATATTAGGATTAATAATAGATCTTTAAGTTAGTTGTAGAATTAATATTTAGTCATCGCCCATGTGAAAATAAAATTAAGAAATTTGAATTTACTTTTTATAAAAACATCCGCATTTTTGAGTAGGTTTTTTGTTTGTTTGTTTGCAAAGTCTATTGTGGAAAACAATATAAGGGGATTTGAATTAGGTGGTGTAACCTCTTTAAAATTAGCCTATTTCTATAGTGAGAATTCCTAAAAGTGTTTCTTTTTAACCTTTATATTCAAATTCTCCACTCATTTAAAAGTAAAAATGCATAATTTCTATATACATTTGCTTTTGTACTCCATCCCTTAAAATTTTTTTTAAAGACCTAAATTCAAAGGATACAATAATATGTCGATCAGATGGGTTTCGCTGACGCGTTCTTTGTAACTGAGTTAATTGCTTAGCTTCTCGATTCCTTGCTGTGAATGTTGCTTTGAGGTCATCCTGCAAATTGGCATTTTTTTTTTTAGTTAGTAAAAATATCTGACTTAAGGAAGTTCACACTCTGTTTTAAGAAAGGAAGAATATTTCTTGTGTGATCCTGGTACCATTACTGCAGGAATTACCAGTATTACATAATGAGTGTGTGTCTATGTATGAGAGAATGTGTTTAATATTCTCTCAAAATAATGACACAATTTCAGTGCGAAACTATAACCATAATACATACATGTATATAAGTGTGTAATTTTGATTGTGGTAGTAGTGACATGTATATAAAAATTTGTCAAAACTCAATGATCACTGAAAATGGAAAAATTTTATTGCATGTAAATCAGAGGCACTTAACCCCCCGGCCTATTAGGAACTGGACCAGCACAGCAGGTGAGTGGTGGGCAAGCTAGCATTAAGGCCTGAGCTCTGCCTCGTTAGATCAGAGGCAGCATTTGATTCTTATAGGAATGCAAACCCTATTGTGAATTAAAGAAAAATTGTCTTACATAAAACCGGTCCCTGGTACCAAAAAGGCTGGCGACTGCTGATGTAAATTATACTTCAATAAAGCTAGTTTTATAGAATTCTGTCATACATTTAAAAAGTTTAAATGCTATCATCTGCTTTAAACAAAAACTTATATTCATATAGTAAACTAATTTGTCCATATATTTTTCATTATAAATATTAAATATTTTAAAGTTCCCATAATAAAGTCTTATGTTGCTACAGTATACTTAATAAGCCCACTAAAAATATTTCATTGTTCTTAAAGATCTAAGTGATCTTTCAGAGTATGTAAAAAGAATGATTATATACTACTTTGTATTTCTTATTAAAGGAACAATTGGAATCCTGATACTCTTTGCCAGAGTAACTCATAAGTGGGAAAATGGATTTACTTACCCGTTTCATTTTCACAATGGTCCCATAAGCTTTCAAGGGTTCAACTACTTTGGCTTCAAGTCTTTCAACCTATTGAAAATTAGTAAAATTTTAAATTAGAATGTTTAACCTTTAACCTATAAATTAAAGGATAATCACTAGAAATTGGTAAGACTCAGAATCTAAACTCAAACACATTAAAAACTGTTAAGCTGCACAGTAACAGTAAAAGTAGAAAAGCACCTGGTAAGCAAAACGACAAGAAAAGGTCTCAGGTTTCCCAGGAGCTTATCCTCACCACATCACCTTAGGATTACTTATTTACCTTCAAGTGGTAGTTTAAGTGCTAAGACAGCTCTAACTATAATACAGCTAACATTTTCAGTGTGTTCAGCACAGTATTGGATATTTTACGTATATCATCTCTGAACTGTAATGGCTCAACTTTTCTGAAAAATCAAAGCTGAAAGATAGATCATCCTGTAAACATTTAAAGCAACATAGCTGTCAAAAGCAAAAAAGCTTAGGGATTACTGTATTTGCTGCATTTTTTTTTTCCCCTAGGAAGCCATTTGTGAATTATCAAAGCCTACAGAACAAGATAAATGGTCTGAGTTGCTGAGCTGTCAAACTGCATGTCTCATCTCTATTTCATTTAGAATTACTTTTTCTTAAACGTTATAGGTTTTTAAATCACACTTTGAGCAATTCTTTTACAAACAGCACTAGTGGAAAGCACTGAAGAGACAGATTTTTTTTTTAAGGCAAGTATTTAAATATAGCATAAGAAAAATAGCTCTTGTACATTAAAATTTTTTCTCTCAAGATAGGTGACATGTATTCAATTGCTTAAAATGAATATGTATTATTTTAATAGCAGAAAAACGGCTTTTTAATGATACATATTTATATAATTGACAAATACACTTTATTTCATATTGATTTTTCTTTAGTTTCATAAACAAAATGTATTATAGATGCCTCATTTTAAAATATATTAGGAAAATACAAATCAAGTTCCCATCAAGTATTCAAATATTAGGAATCCTAAAATCATGGATATTCAGGACAGTTTGGTATACACCATTTCTTTTCTTATTTTTTTTTTTTTCTTGAGATGGAGTTTCAATCTTGTTGCCCAGGCTGGAGTGCAATGGTGCAATCTCAGCTCACTGTAAGCTTCGCCTCCCAGGTTCAAGCGATTCTCCTGCCTCAGCCTCCTGAATAGCTGAGATTACAGGCATGAGCCACCACACCCGGCTAATTTTTGGGGTTTCTCCATGTTCGTCAGGTTGGTCTCGAACTTGAGACCTCAGGTGATCCACCTGCCTCAGCCTCCCAAAGTGCTGGGATTACAGGCGTGAGCCACCGGGCCTGGCCCGGTTTATACCATTTCTTATAATCCATACTGATTATTCAGTTTATGGATTATTTAAGCCTTTTTTTCTTTTTACTGTTCTCCTTTTTGTTGCCTACCTTTTTGTCATTGTTCATTAGCACTTCCACCATTTGGTAAGCAAGGGAAATAAAAGGAGAACAAATGCAAATCAATTCACTTTGCTATTTGATAAATAGCATAAAGGTTTTCTACAAAGAGGCATTGAAATTACGGCTAAAATAGGATTTTAGGATTACCTGTGAACATAAATTATCTTTGAAACATGAAGTCCCCAGTTATTTACAATTGTTACATATTACAGAAGTTTCATGACAAGAATTCAACATTTTTCCAAAGTACCTCTAAATGTGATTACTCTTCACAGCTGTATGAGTATTATGAGTTCACAAATTATGCTTTTATATTTTGAAAACTGAAATTTCTGTTTTAGGTTCTGATGAGAAAAGTACAAGAAAAGCAATAACGTTCTAACTGGGCAACTTGAAACCTATGCCTTGAAACTGAAAATAAATATAAGTAAAAGTATTAAAGAAAAAAATGAGCTTTTAGAAAGCAAACAATCGCAAGGACACCTTTCCTGCTACCCAGAGCAAAAAGCCCCCTCGGTGTCTCAGTATTGGTTTGCTTCCATGATATAATTCACAGCATTTTTTGCGGTTAATAAACCACTGGTAAATTTTCCAGAGCATGGATGCAACAATGATCTCTTGCCCATTTATTAATAATTTATCCATCCACATTATCATTCCCAACATTCCATCTCCACTCATTCTTTAAAATGTACTTACGTGCCACACAAGACAAGAGTTATGCTTCTTTTCTTCCCCCTGGGTATATTCGTACTGCCCCCAGTAAACAGCCACCCCTTGGCCAAAAGTTAGCAAATAAAGTGGGGAAATTCCAGACTTCAAGACGCCCTTAAGTTTAGCTTGGAAACGGTAAAATACAACACGGAAAGCTTCTCTTTAATAGATTCACAAAACGTTATAGACACGAAAATGTATACTTTATCAGGTTTGTATCCACCTCTGCAGTTAGGTAGATTACAAGTAAAAGTTTCCACGGTTCCTTCATCCACTACTTCATGGCTCATTCATAACAATGACACTGTGACCTCACTCCATACCTCTGCTTGTCGATAATCCTGAAGTTTGGCAAACTCGTCGGCAAAGTTCATCAGACCCAGCTTTAAATGTGGGGTCTCTGTAGCGGCATATGCGTTGATTTCATTCACCAGGAGGTCTGCTTTGTCTCGCAGTCTGGCAGTTTTCCGCACATAGGCAGCGAAGATTTGGCACAGTTCTCCAAAATGCTTCTCCACGTTTGAGACAGCTGTTTGCAGTTGTTTCGTTTGAGCGTTCCTAGAGAAAAAGGTGACGCAAGAGGTGAAACATTCTCGTTGGCGATGAGAAGGCTTCATTAACAAGCACACACACCCCGGGCATTCTGCAGCTTTGAAGGTGCAAACCCACCAACGGATCCACTGTCTCCCGGCGTTGTCTGCTCTCCTCCGGGACCCCATTTCGGGCCTGGCCTCACTAACCCGACAGTGTAGGCACAGGAAGAGGCCCAGGCCGGGTGGGCCTGGCCTCAGGCGGCAGCTCCACGAGACGCGGCCTGGGCGCCCGACTGCCTCCCAGGCTTCTGCCCCGCCCGCGGCAGTGCTGGCTTGGGTGGCTGGCAGCTTGCCGAGCCCGGTGCTCCCCTTGGCCGCCAGCGCTCGCTGCAGCCCCGGGAATTAGGCCCCAGACCACAGCGGGGACCTTGCAGTCTCCCGCCAAGGGTCGGAATTCGGCGCAGAGGCCCCACCGACAGAGGCTCCACTTCCCCTACCCCGGCCCTCCCGTGTGGGCCCCGGGAAACTGGGCCCGGGCTGTTACCGGTTTTCCAGGGTGCGCCTCATCATGCTGCCTCGCGCACGGCAGGAGACTTTGCGGGGGCCCAACCAGGGGGCTCAGCCACTGGGGCTCCAGGCGTCCGGGCGGGCGCTGCGGCGCAAGCAGCCGCCGGGAGCCGGAGAGCCCGCCCCTCGCGCCGCCGCGCCAGCCCGGGCGTTTCTATGGAAACAGGGCGAGCGCCCCAGAGGTCAAAGCCGGAGGCTGCCTGAGCGTGGCTGGGCTCGAGAAGCGCAGAGCAGCTAGGGACCGAGAGGGCCGACAGCGCGCCCACCTCTGCAGAGCCGCTTGCGCGGTCGCCCCGTGCGTCCCTGCGGGCGAAGCCTGTGGGAAGCACCGCGGGGCTGCGGCGCCTCCATCCTCCCCAACAGTCGCGCGGAACAGACACCCAGCCTCCATGGCTGCTCTGCTACTCCGAGCAGGGGAGAAAAGACGCGGGTCCGCCGGGATCCAGGAGGGAGACGTGAAACCAGAGCCCCAGGGGGCTCATCTCCGCCTGTGCGACTTGTAGTCTCGTACCCCACGTGTCCGCTTCGCTACTGAATCTGAAAACCTGGGCTCTTGGGAGCTGCCCTTGGAAGGAGCAGTGCTACTGCCTCATCTTTAACTTTTCGTTTATTCAGCAAATATGTATCGAGTTCCTACTTGGTGGAAGAGATTGTTAGGCACTGGGAATCATAGAAACATAAGAAGCAGGGGTCCCAGGCCTGAAGGGCCTGAGCGTTGGATGAGGAGGCAATACTTATACTGAACCTGTGCTGAGATAACGAACAGTCCTGGCTCTCAGGGTTGGCCTGGGGGAACAAAAATTAAAAATAATAAAACCCCAAGCAAACAGGAGGCTCTCCTTTTTCCTTTGAACGCCTCTGCCCCTTTGACCCTCCTAGCCTTGGTGTGTGTTGCTTTTCCCAGCCAAAACCGCAAGGACTCCATTCAGACTTTATTTATTTATATACATTTTTTGAGATGGTGTCTTGCTCTGTTGCCCAGGCTGGAGTGCAGTGGCGCAGTCTCTTCTCACTGCAACCTCTGCCTCCTGGTTCAAGCAATTCTCCTGCCTCAACCTCCCAAGTAGCTGGGTTTACAGGCGTGCATTACTATGCTGGGGTAATATTTTGTATTTTTAGTACAGACGGGGTTTCACCATGTTGGTCAGGCTGATCTTGAACTCTTGGCCTCAAGTGATCCACCCTCCTCAGCCTCCCAAGTGCTGGGATTACAGGCATGAGCCACTGCACCTGGCCTCAATTCAGACTTTACCTGCTTTAAGAAACCTCTCTGGGATCCTCCCGCACTTTGCTCCTTTAGGCAGCATTAGGGCCTAGTCGTAAGGCTTTGGTACAGGGCCCTAATACTGTCTGAAGGAGCGAAGTGTCTAAATGCTCAAACAGTACATGTTGTTGATTTTATACTGCCTCCTGTACTCTAGACTTTGAGCCCTTTGAGGCCCAGGAAATGCGATTTTGTTCTGGTATTCCTCACTGCCTTGCCCTGCTCGATAAAAGATTTTATTTTGGACAAATAGATGTCTTCAGTCCTTTGTTATGAACTCCCCCTCATTCTCTTGTGCCAATCTCTCATGTTACAATGTGTACCTCTCTTTCCTTCTTGCATTCATTCAGCATGTTATAGATTGGATGCCTGGTGTGTTCCAGGTATCATACTGGGCTTTGAGGTTGGCACAGTAACCTAAAGTCAGAATAATCTATGCTTTTTTTCTTTTATCCCTGAGATGGAGCCTTGCTCTGTAGCCCAGGCTGGAGTGCAGTGGTGCGATCTTGGCTCCCTGCAATCTCTGCCTCCCAGGTTCAAGCAATTCTTCTGCATCAGCCTCCCAAGTAGCTGGGATTACAGGCGCGAGCCACCACACCCTACTATTTTTTTTTTTTTTTTTTTTTTTGTACTTTTAGTAGAGACAGGGTTTCATCGTGTTGGCCAGGCAGGTCTCAAACCCTTGACCTTGTGATTCGCCCACCTTAGCCTCCCAAAGTGCTGGTATTACAGGCATGAGCCACTGTACCCGGCCAGAATAGTCTATGCTTTTAGAGAGCTCACAGTCAGGTGGGAGGGATGGAAGCTAATCAAAGATAGGTAAAATGACAACTGAGATACGTGCTACTGTATCCACTTTCACGGTGTAACCAATCACCACAAAACTTAGTGGCTTTTTACAGTCCTTTGGCTAGCTTTGGATTCTGAGTGGGCTGGATAGTTCTTTTACCTAGTTTCTGCTCAGTTGGGCTCTTACTTACCTTCCTGGTCAGCTGGTGACTGGATGATCTAGGGGGCTCACTCCTGTGTCATGGCAGTGGCAGGTCATCAGCAGGAGCCATATGTTTCCGATTGTCTAGCATGTCAGCCAGACTTCTTTTCATGGTTTCAGAGTTCCAAAACAGTGTAGCGGGACAAGTCTACTTACTGCACAGGTGCATTTCAAGACTGCCCATGTTGCGTTTTTTGATGTCCTATTGGTGGATGCAAGTCATGTGGCCTAGACCAGCGAGATGAGAGTGGGAGGGCAGTGGAAATGTTATGGATGATGTGGTTGGTAGAGGAATTGGTGACCACTTTTCCAACCTACTTCTAAGGGAAACTGCATGGCAGCAATTGAGCCTATATTTAATACAGAGCTTTGGTTTGAACTCGTCAGGGAAGGACTTCATTGAGAAAGTGACATTTGAGCTGAGATCCAAAGAATAGGAAGGAGTTAACTAGGTGAAGAGGGAGTGAGAAACAGTCCTCAGAGAAAAACAGTAGGGTAGTTTGTCCCATGCCTCCCTTAGTCCCAGTCCCGTCTCTACCCAGAATTTCATATCTCAGAAATGCTACTTTTGTCCAGCTGATTGTTCAAGTCAAAAACCTAGGCGTCATCCTTTCTTTTCTCCAGCCACATGGGCAATTCCTATCTATTCCGTCTCAAAACATACCCTGAATCATTTCTTCTTTATTTTTTTTCTACATCCCCATAAAACAAGCTACTACTACCAGTCATCCTTAACGCAAATCTCCCTTACTAGTTTCCCCATGTCCACTGTTACACATTGCAGTGTGAAATCAAACATGTAAATCGGATGATGTCAAACACTCTCAGTGTGCTTCAAATAAAAATTTAAAGCCTACATTGCTGCCCCATTGTGCTATAGCCACACTTTATTTATCTATATCTATATAGGCAGATAGATAGATAGATAAGCTTCTCCCTCTCTCCCTCTCTCTCTCTCCCTCTCTCTCTTGCTGTCACTCTCACTCTCGCTTTCTCTCTTCCTCTCTCTCTGTGTCTATCTGTAGATAAGCTTATCTCAGTGTTAGTTCTGTGTTTGCAATTCTCTCTGCCTGGAATGTTCCTTCTTCAGATCTTTGCATGGATGGCCCCTTCGTATGAAATTGTGCTTAAAAATCACCTATGAGTGGGGCTTTCTCTGATCACCAAATGATTCTATCACCCTGTTTTGTTTCCTTTGAAGCACGTGTCATGTCCTGAAATTAACCTGTTTATTTACATGCTTTCTCTGTCTTCTCCCATTCAAGTACTAATCAGGCTGGACCTCACTTAGCTTCAAAGATCAGGTGTTCAGGTACGGCTGTAGATCTATGTCTGTCTTCTATGACTAGAATATATTCTCCGTGAAACTAGCCACGCTGTTACCTGTTCACTTTATTTTATTTATTTAATTAAAAAAATTTTTTTAATTGTTTTTTTTTGTTTGTTTGTTTGTTTGTTTTGAGATGGAGTCTTACTCTATCTCCCAGGCTGGAGTGCAGTAATGTGATCTCAGCTCACTGCAACCTCTGTCTCCTGGGTTCAAGCAATTCTCCTACCTCAGCCTCTCAAGTAGCTGGGACTACAGGCATGTGCCATCACACCCAGCTAATTTTTTTGTATTTTTGGTAGAGATGGGGTTTTATCATTTTGGTCAGGCTGGTCTCGAACTCCTGACCTCAGATGATCCACCTACCTTGGCCTCCCAAAGTGGTGGGATTACATTCATAAGCCACCGCACCTGGCCTACCTGTTCACTTTATATTCCCAGTACCACCTCAGTGCTTGACTTATGGTAGAAACTCAATAATTAGTTGAATTTATTAATGAATGAATAAATAAATGAGTGAAAACCTCATGACAGAAGGGACACAGTATTTGTGAGGACATGGAAGAAAGCCAATGGGGTGGAGTGGAGGAAGTGGCACTCCATGGTCTGAGATTTAGTTGGATGGCTAGATGGGGGCCGGGTTGTATAGAGCATTTTGGCCATGCTAAGGAGTTTAGAGATTGGTTCTTGTATTAGCTAAGATTCTTTAGAGAAACAGAACAAATAGTCTGTGTTATAATTAATATAATATATAATATGTATAATTTTATTATAAGGAATTGGCTCAAGTGATTATGGAGGCTGAGAAGTCCCAAAATCTGCAGTTCACAAGCTGGAGATCCAGGAGAGCCAATATGTCATTTCAGTTCAAGTCCAAAGGCTGGAGAACAAGAAGAGCTGATTGTTTATTTCCTGTTTGAAAGCTGGCAGGTGGAGACCCAAGGAAAACAGATGACTGAGTCCTAGAGGGAAGGCTAGAAAAGATGGTGTCCTGAGTCAAGTGGTCTGGTGGGAGCAGTTTCCTCCTTCTGAGACTTTTTCCTATTGAGGTCTTTGATTGACTGGATGAGGCCTGCCCACATTAGAGAGGGCACTCTCCTTTATGCAAATATTAGTCTCATCATAAACACCCTCAAAGACACAGCAGAATAGTGTTTGGAGGAATGTCTGGGCACCCATGGCTCAGTCATACTGACACATAAAATGAACCATCACCGTCATTGTCTTTGTATCAGTGTGAAGGTATTGAGTTGTTAAAGCGAATGATTTATTGTGTAGCTCTTAAAGCTGTTAGCACATGCCTGGTATAGGGTATCATAATTGTTGAACAGATGCATATTGAATTACCCTTCTTCAATATCCACTTAATATATGGAAATAAAAGTGCTCAAGGAAACTTCCTCCTGAGATATGAGCTCTTGATATTATTCTCCTGTCAACAGATATCTAAAAAATATGCATTAACACAATCGCTCTCAAGTCTTTTTATTACTTGGAGGCATGTTCCTTCTTACAGGCTATACTCTTTCCAAGGACACATTATCTCATCAAAGAGGAGCTGGGGGCCTGGGAGATCAAGTGCCTTGGCAG